AATAATAAACTCCCGATTACCGAAAAGCTCGCGGAATAATTAATAAAAAAAAAATATTAGTATAAAGAAAACGACGAAAAAAAACTAATACCACGTAATAAGCGCTCGAAAACCGGCGGTAAGAGTATTAATAAGGGTTTAATATAAATTACTTTTACCATAAAAAAGACTTTAAAGTAAAAGCACCTTAACCTTACCCTCTACCGCCTTAGGAAGTATTATTTAATAAAGATTAATTACGAAACTGCTTAGCGCATTATTAAGTAATAGGTTAAAACGCTTACCTAAGCTAAAGTATAGAATACGTTAACGGATAACTATAAATAATAGTGGTTAAAGTTATTCGAGAGGGGATTTATATACCTAAGCAGTCCGTATAATCCTTCGATAATACGGGAGATTATAAAGGATATTAACGAATTTACTAGGATTCGTAATAATAAATATAATAACGAAAAAAAAACGGAATTTAATAATAAAGAGGAAAAAGAGGTATTATATGGTCGCGGGAGGCCGCTAAAAGAGTTATAATACGAGCTATAAATCGGTACGGGAGGTAGAATAAGAGGATTTCGGATTAGGTAATCTAATAAATATTACCTTTAAAAAATTTACTAAGTCCTATTAACGGCTAGCTATTAATAATATATTTATTAGCGATTATTATATAAAATGCGTTTATACTGGTTAATCGCGGACCGTAATATTCTATACGAAATGTTTAGGAGTATTAACCGGCCTAAGCAACCGCTTAAGTGCTATAAAAGTAATAAATCTAACGGATTTAGACTAAAACCTCTTAATGGGCCGGGCTTAAGGAGATAATTTAATTATAATAATAAAAATCTAATTATATATATTGCGTACGGGCTATATATAACCAGAACCTTTTAATAGGCCGGGCTTAAGGTAATTAAAACCTACCTCCTAATAGGCCGGGCTTAAGGAAATAATGCGAATACCGTAATAAAAATCCAATTATATATATTACGTATAACCGGATTCTCCTAATAGGCCGGGTTTAAGGAAATAATACGATTATAATAATAAAAATCTAATTATACGTATTACGTATAATCACTTTACCATTACTAGGTATAAAGTTATTATTATAAAGCCGCCCGGGTATTTCTTTAATTATCTCCTAGGTTATTTCTTTAATTCTTTATTAAGTTATTATAAAGCCGCCGCCGGGCCCGCTACCGGGCCCTTTATCCCCTTATTATACGGTATCTCCTTTGCCGGCTTTATCTTTTTTATTATAAACGTTAATAGAGCGGTTATATATTTTAACCGTGTTATTATATAAGGATATTACTAGGTGGCCGTAATGGCTTAACGCCTTATACGAGGACGTTATTAGGTGGCTATTGCGATTTTATAAGGCGTGCTTTACGGAAAAGTGTAAGCTTTTTATAACGCCTTATATAAGGACGTTACCAGGTGGCCGCTGCGGTTTTATAAGGCGTGCTTTATAAAAAGGCGTAAGCTTTTTATTATATAAACCGCTTTATTAACGTGCGGTCGATAACGATCTCCTAAGGGATAGCCGGTAATAGTTTTTTTATACCCGGTATAATAAGCATAGCCAGGAGCAGGTTATACTCCTCCTTATATCTTCTTTATTATAAACCAGAGCCTAGCGCTCCCGCCGACGAGGCCGAATTATTATCTCCTCCGTAACCGCGCTTACGATTAAAAAGACGATACCGGCCTAAATAATAGTGTTTTAATATTATAGGGAGTCTTTTAAGTTATAATAACCCCAGAACTGCTTTTATTACTACTACTGCTAATATTATAATTATTATTATAGCTATTAATACTATAGTTATTATTATTATTATTAATATTATTATTATTATTACCGCTATTATTATTAATATTACTACTATAGTAATTATTACTATTACTGCTTATCGAGATTATTACCTTACCGGAGCCTTTACCGGAGCCCTTATTATTACCGGGGGTTTTAGGAGCGTTACCAGAGTCGCCACTGGTAATATTACCACCGGGGGTTTTAAGAGCGTTACTAGAATCGCTACCGGTAATATTACCACCGGGGGTTTTATACCCGGGTATAAGTTAATAACTTTTACCGGCCCGCTATTATAAAAGCTCCTGGTAATTATCTTATATAGCGTTTACCTTTTAATCTTTTTATATAATTATAAGGGAGCCGGGCCCGGTATATTACTTTACTTTATACCGGTCGTTATTAACGTAAGCACCTTAATTTAATTCTATATAATTATTAGGGTGGAATTCCTCCTTTTTTAATATCCAGTTATATACCGCAGCCGTGGCGTAAATAAGCCTTATATAGTTCTTTTACTTTAAATACGGCCGCGCCTTAAAAATCCTAAAAAATCCCTTTTAATAACCGAATATATGCTTAATAATACCCTATAGCTGGGTATACTGTAAGTTAAATAACTCCTATAGCATACTTAGCTTTTTATTAAAATGTTTTAACTCCTTTATATAATAAGCTATACGCCGGTATAATATTAAAACGCCGTTCCCGATAACGTATCCGGTATCTCCTAAAAGGTAGCGGCGTAAGGGGATTTATAACTTATGCTCGTTAACTGCATTCTTAAAAACTCTAAAATCGCTAATAAAGCCCTTTTATCCCGCTAAAATATATATAATCCTCCCTTTAAAGTTATAGGCTATTAGTATATTAATACTAAGTTATCCCTTTCGGTTATACCAGGTTTGCTTATTACCGAAAATATTAATCTCGAAATAGGATTTATTAATTACGCTTATATAATCCCGGAAATATAGGTAGAATTTACCGCTATTAGCGATCTTCTCTAGTATTAATCCTTTTAATTATTATTAAGTTATATTCTTTTTAGCCAGGATAGCTAAGGCTTTAATAACCCTAATAAATGCCTTATAAATAGTAGTATTACTGCGTTTAAAGTGTTTTATAATAAGCCGAAAAGATAATCCTTATACCGTAATCTAAAACCAAATAATTAATTTTTCTTCAATAAGTAGTCCCCTAGGCCGGTAATAAAGGCCGGTATTCTTTATTAACCAGTCCCTTAATAACCAGAACGTTAATTTACGGATTCGAAATACGTTATAAAAGCGTTTATTATTAGATTATATAAGGTTATATATATAATTCTTAATAACGAAAGGAGCTATAAAAACTCCCGGCTAGTTAAGTAGCCGGCTAGCTAAAACCACGCTTTATATTACTATAATAAAAGTAATACGCCGGCGTTTTACAGCCTTTATAATAATAATAATACGCCAGCGCTTTAAAAATCGTTTTTTTCGGTAATAGGCTATAATTATAAAAGAATTATGCTCGCAGTAAAATAAATAATACCTTTTATAATACCGCTTTATAGGGGAGCGGTGCTTATTAAGCTAATAACTAATAGGGTTAACCGGCTTAACAGAGTTATAATTAGGAGGAAAAACAGGTTAAAGGTAGTAAACGAGGTAAACGGGATCGTTAAAGAATTCGGGCTATCCGATTAAATAATAAGTTATTTCCGCTTAAATAGAATTTAAGCGAGGTATATTAATTAAAACGTTAGCTATAAGACGTAAACATTACGTTTATAAATACTGATTTATAAAGCAGACCTATTATTAAATACTATATAAAGGTATTATAAACACTCCCTGATTAACTGTAAATTGGATCTGACTTTTCAGACTTATCCGGTTACAGGGAGCAAATTCTGGTGGGCTGGGAAATTTTAAAAGGCTCTAATTAGCTAGAGCCCCACAGATTCGGCCGGTGGCACACCCTCCCACGCACACTCGCAATAACCGCACACTCGCAATAACCGCATACTCGCAATAACCGCATACTCGCAATAGCCGCACACTCGTAATAGCCGGTAAGTTTAAAGTTCTTTATATTATTAGTTAAAGAATAGTTAAGTGACTTAATATTAGGTGGTGAACGCAGCAAAATTTAAGTACAGCTGCTATATGGGGCCGATATCTTCGGAGATCACGTGCGTACCCTCTAAGAGGATAACACCCACTAGTTGGATATAAACTGCCTGTCTACTATAGATCCAATTACAGGGGGGACTACTGTATCCGTATTCCCACCCGACAAACGGCAGAAAATGGAATTTCCGGGGGCGGTCAAAATTGCGGACCCCTCACCGCCGAAGCCCCGGCCAGCCGCAAAGAAAAGAAAAGTTTCCCGGGACTCCCCTTTTTCAGCCCCTCACAAAGTTCGATTTGTGCCATTCACATCCAAGCATCTCAGACCTCGCATCTTCGCTCCAATGCGCTGCATGATACTTGAAGCGCCCATCACCGGTGCTCTGCAGCCTGAAGAAGCGCTGCTTTGACGCGGCTGGGACCAGCCATGTATAACAGTCATGCGCTATGTGACCGATCTGCTGCTGCCGTCATACCCCGCGACCCCTCCACGCTCCTCCGAATGCTAAGGTAGGCGTGAGCCACACTGGCGCTTACGAGGTGGGGGATAGGGGGGACCAGCTGCTGATAGGATCTCGGGTCAACAGGCCACTTCACTGCAGCTTGCGCGCGCTCCTAGCAGACGCCCGAGTCGCGGTGCTGTGCCGATGAGAAGCATAGATACTCCGTACTTACGTAGGTACCTATCTGCTTGGACACTGCACATAAGCGCCTGGCTTGCGCCGGCGAGGCACCCGCTTCGTTTTTATCCCAACACATGCGTTGTGTAAGTCTGCAGGATCGACGGATTGGTTTTGCCCGGTACGGGAATTTGTTCCAAACATTCCTGCAGTATAAGCTACCTTCATGTCATTTTTAATTTGGAGTGGCCTTGACCTGCCCTTTTCCTGGTAGATACCAGACTGCTTTGAAGTACGTCGGTACATAGTACGATGGAAATTTGTAGTCATGCATGCGAATGTGATTGGGCCTGAGGCTACGAATTCGTAAACCCCCCACTCGAGTCTCTACCATTGGAGAAAATGATCATAGTATGCAATAAGAAGCCCATCGTTCAACAATCAGACACTGTGGCCGAGTGGTTAAGGCGATGGCCTGCTAGTTCCTCAGTGCCCTAGCATACAAGACAGCCATTGGGTTCGCCCGCGTGAGTTCGAATCTCATCGGTGTCGCTCAATACCCGTGATACACGGGAAGCACCTGAATTTTTTGCTTCCTTCTATTTTTTGCTTTCTTCCATGAGAGGAAGAGGAAAAAGGAAGAGATAGATGAGTGAATGAGATGGCTTTTTTCCATTTCAACCCCAGTTCCAAGGCCTTCACCTCATATCCGCAATTTGACCACACTACCTACCGTATTGTGCTTGGCAGTCTTCGAGGATATTGATCAAGTACTGGCTTCATTCTGGCGCCAGTTCAAGACTCACTACCTTACCTACCTGCACAGGCACTCACCTACCGTCCCAACATTCGTGATCGTCAAATCGAACAGATCAATGACATTTACGTGGACAGAGAGGCCTAGCTGCAGTCTCTTCCACACCCTCCTCTGAAGAATCCAGCACCTAGTCTTGCTCGTCCCTCCCATTTTAGGCAATGGTGGGTATAATCTCATGCGAGTGTTCGAAGTGAACAAACGGATCAGGACGAAAGCAACCGCCAGACTCCTTTGGCTGTTCCCCATGATAAAGACTTCACCTGAGGTAAGGTGCCGGTATCTACGGTAGATAGGGTGATAGGATAGGTAAGGTAGGCAGAAGGTGTTGCGTAGGTGGACTCCTCAACCCCGCAAGCCCGCAGTCGGAGTCTGTCTACCTTACCTGTAGGACTGCAGACTGGTCCACGTTGCCCACGACCGTATCGTAGTGCCCGTCGAACACAGCAGGCTGGAAACAAATACCACAATACCACGCATCTTCTGTCTTCATCCATGAAGAAATAGGAGAGTCTGCAGTTTACGGGTAGAAAGACTGCAACCACGTCTTGCAAGAGCGTACCACCAACCGAGTGAATCCGTCCAGACTCCATCATGGCGAACTTCGACATCGAGACCGCGAGGTCCAAGTTCCCGGCCCTAAAGTCCGACCAGGTCTTCTTCGACAGCGCCGGCGGCAGCCAGACCCTGGGCACCGTCATTCAGTCGTGAGAAGCATCCGGATCCTCTTTTCCTTCCCCAAGATCTGGCCGGTTACTTACCGGTACCTACTAACGAACCTGCGAACAATACACAGAATAAGCGACTACCTGATCGGGACGAATGTTCAGCTGGGCGCCACGTACAAGACCGGGGCGGCGGCCAACGACCGGTTCCGGCTCGGCCAGGAGGCCGGCGCCAAGTACATCAACGCCGGGGTGGACGAGATCGGTAAGTCATGTCGGGTTTTTCCGTCCGTCCGTCCGTCCATGTGCTCCTTTTCCCGTCGTCGTCGTGACCGAGAAGAGAGAGCCGAGAGCTGAGAAAAGGGGGGCGGGGTGGCGGGGGGCCGGGGCGGTCCCCGGGTGCGCCGCCGGCACGTATTGTACCTAACCCTACCGTAGTGTTCGGGCCGTCGACGACGCAGCTGTTCCGCAACATCTCGCACGCGCTCCGCCTCGAGGCGGGCGACGAGCTCGTCGTATCCAGCATCGACCACGAGGCCAACGTCGCGCCGTGGGTCGACCTCGCCGCGCGCGAGGGCCTGACGCTCCGGTGGTGGACGCCGTCCGCGTCCACGTCCACGTCCACCGGCCCCGAGCTCCTCCCCGAGGACCTCCGGCCGCTGCTCTCGGACAGAACACGTCTCGTGGTGCGTACACACCTACCTACCTAGCTACCATGTCGATACAGATCCGACGGATGCCGGCAGGCAGGCTTCGTCGCCGAGTGGACGCTGCTGACCTGTTCTCAGTGAGTACCTATCTATCGTACCGGTAGTACCGGTACCTACCGCAGCCGCTCCGGGCAGCCCCCCCTTACTCACCCGTATTCCTTTTACTGCTTCCGAACAGGACGTGTACGCACGCGTCTAACATCCTGGGCACCATCACCGACGTGGCGGCCATCTCGGCGGTCGTGCGCGCCGCGGCGCCGCGGGCCCTCCTCTGCGTCGACGGCGTCGCCTACGCGCCGCACCGCCCGGTCGACGTCCGCGCGCTCGGCGTCGACCTGTACTCCTTCAGCTGGTACAAGGTCTACGGACCGCACGTACGTGTCTTGCTATACACCTATCTATGCCACCTCCCCCCCCCGTTTCCTAGGTTCTCCTCGCTGTGGCGGCCCCGTCTCCCGCCCTGCCTCTCGTCCCCCTGCTCCCCTTTCATACGTCTTCGTATGTCCGCGCGGAGGGGGTTGGACGGGACTGCCTGTTTCAAGCTCGTCGGCAGAGATGGCATCATGGATGATAAATGGGAGAGGGAGACGATACCTTAGTTGCTGACATGATCCAACCCCCTCGCTCCCTCCCCCCTTTTTTTTTCTCGAAACACAGCTGGCCATGCTGTATGCGAGCCCGCGAGCCCGCGACGCGCTGAGGTCGCTGGGCCACTTCTTCAACCCGCACGAGACGCTGTCCGAGAAGGTGAGTTGCGCCTCCCTGCGGCACCAGTAGGGCGCTGGCTCTCGGCACGCCCTCCTCGCTCAAAGCCACTCGGACGAGGAGGCGGTCGGACCCGCTGACGCAAGATGGTTCGTCCGTCTGTCTGAGGATGCAGGTTGGGCTCGGCGCGGCCAGCTATGAACTCGTGTCGTCTGTACGTTGAAACCCCCCCTCACCCCCTCGCCAAAATCGCAGCAGTCGTCTGCCCTCCTCTTCCTCACAGTCGAGAAGAGAGAGATCGAGAAACCCCTTCCGCCCCCCCATCAGAGAAACATGCGACGTCCCAAGAAATTGTCTATTACTCACCCATCTGCCCCATCTATCTGCCCGTCCCTTACACCGATGCCCCCCTCTCCCCAACCCCCAAACTACATTACCTACCTACCTACCTATCTCTTCAGGTACCTACTTACTTACCCTCCCCTTTCCACCGGGCAAACCTCCAGATCCCCGCGGTGGTCGAGCACCTATCCGCCCGCTACGCCTGGCCGGCGATCGAGTGGCGCGAGGCGCAGCTGCAGGGCCGGCTGCTCTCGCACCTGCTGTTTTCGCGCAGCGGCGACGTGACCGTGTACGGCCGGCCGGACGCGGACCCGGACCGCCGCCTGCCGACCGTCAGCTTCGGCGTCGCCGGCGTCGGCGCCCGCGCCGTCGTCGAGGCCGTCGAGCGCGGCACCGGCGGCGCGCTGGGCCTCCGCTGGGGCGCCTTCTACTCGCACCGCCTGGTGCGGGAGCTGCGTGCGTGGTCTCTCCTTCTTTCTCTCTCTCCCTCTCTCCCCCACCCCCTCTTCTCTCTTTCCTTTCCTTTCCTTTCCTTTCCCCTTTCCTTTTCCTTTTGGCGCCTTCTTTCCGCGTTTTACTCTTTTGGCAGAGGGTTCTTGGGGGATGACGGGAAATGAGGAAGAGGGCGATGACTCTCTCGTGTCCCTCCTCTCTCTATGCCTTCGTTGAGATTGAATGCGCATATAAGCTGGGCTCGCTCTCACAGCATCCGGAATGCTATTGCTGCTGCTGCTCCTGCTGCCGCCGCTGCTGCTGCTGTTGTGACAAGCAATACATACACATCCACAGGGAGCGGGCATTTGCTGACGCGGAGTGTGGCAGTCGGACTCGATGAGGAGGGCGTGGTCCGCGTCAGCATGGTCCATTACAACACGAGTACGTCCTCCTCCCCCCTTTCCTTTCGTTTCCCTCTCTTCCCGTCCGCCCCTCACACCCAGGCGCGGTAGATAGCCGGAGTGGATGGCTATGGCTATCGCTGATACACAGACTGCGGCAGTGGACGAGGTTGAGCGCTTCATCGAGGCCTTTGACAAGTTTGTCCCCAGGAAGAACTGAACCACAATGCACACACGGTCACGGGACACGAGCCATGTGTCTTGTTCGAGTCGGAGTGGGATGGTCACGATGGACGGACGGACGCTGAGCGGAGGCATAAGTCGACGGGGATCTATAGGTAAAGTACATACGAGGGGTCTACAGGAGCCGAGGTAATTATCTTGGTCCCGAAAGCACATACATACATTATACTCAATATGAACACCCCGTTGTCTGATCGAGTACTTTCTGGCATTCGCTAGATTTTACACCACAGGCCAGTGAATGCTTGGAGACTCGATCCGTAGCCTGCCACCACCAGCGCGCAGGATACACGCAGCAACCGCCCGCCCGCCCAACCAACTCACAGCGCCGCAGGCTGCTGCTTGTTGTTGTCGACGGCGCCGCGCATCATGGCGATGACGCCGGCGGGGTCCTGGGCGCCGAAGACGGCGCTGCCGGCGACGATGACGTTGGCGCCGGCGTCGGCGGCCTGGTCGATGGTGCCCGGGCCCAGCCCGCCGTCGACCTCGATGTTGAGGTCCGGGTAGCGGGCGCGCAGCGCCTGCACCTTGGGCAGCTCCGACGCCATGAACTTCTGCCCGCCGAAGCCGGGCTCGACCGTCATGATGAGGACCATCTGGAAAGATAGGGACGGGATCGTGAGTGAGTGAATGAGTGAGTAATTACACGAGTGAGTGAGTGAAGTGAGATGAGTCGTGCGAGCCCCCCGTACGTATTAAGCAGCAGTGGTCGCATCAGGGAAGGAAAAGGGGGGGACAAAAAGGAGACCGCGTTGGGTTACGGGGATAGAGGAAGGAGGGTGAGAAAGAAAGCAAGCGGCGCGCGCAACTCACATCCGGCCTCTCCCTCGCGTCGGCGCTCTCGAGCAGCTCGTCGAGCACCTCGACGCCGGTGGCGGGCTTGAGCGCGACGCCGGCCAGCAGGCCGCAGTCGTGGACGTAGCGCACGAGCTCGCGCGGGCTCGTGCGCGCCTCCGTCGCGGGGGCCTCGGGGCTCTCGGCCGCCGATGAGCCCACCGCCGCCTCGTAGTGGAAGCAGTACAGGTCGCACCCGGCCTTCTGGAACTCGCGCACCCACTTCTTGGGCTGCAGGTTATAGGCGTCGGGCACGTCGGGCGTCGTCGGGCGTCGGCGTGGTCTCGCGTGTCAGCAAAAGAAAAAAGAAAAGAAAAAAGTAAGGTAGGTAAGGTAGGTAAGTAGGTAGGTATGCGTCCCGTCCTGTCGGGTTCCCTTGCGCCCTTCTGCCCTCGCCGGCTGC